TTGCAGCCAAGAAAGTAAAACCAGAAAAAATGAAGACTGAGCTGCAAAGTAGACACTTTCCAATGAGAGCTTTGCCTTCGGAGGTGGGCTGGTTTGGGGTTTTTTTGGATAAGCGAAGGGGATCCCTTAGCCAAACCCCAGTCCGTGAGCCGTACAGAGGAAAGCACAGGAAAGCTCATGGCTAACACCACGGAAGGTCGGGCTGGCAGGTCTGGCTGGCTGGGAATGGCAGTGATGCCCATGCCACAGTCACTTCTTGCTGGGCTACATCAGCCTCTCTAAGCCATCTTCTGCCACGGGCACCCTGCTACCGCTCCCAGAAACAGCCAGTTTAAAACCAGCTTGCACAACTCGACAGCACGTTCCTTTCCAGAGGTGCAGGACACATCCGTTTAGAAACAGTGATGCCTACAAGGTAGGAACCTGCTCGACTCTCAAAATTCAGGCAGCCGATTTTACGGGAAGGCGGCTGTACCGAGTGGTGCGGCAATTCCCGTCATCCTTGCGACAGCAGCGGACTCCTGCCGAGGGGCACACAGCCTTCCTCTCCAGTCCAGCTTGTGTTGGAACAGTTACTACAATATATTCTTTTAAAAACTTTTGAGTATTTTCTCATCATGAAAAATCCGTCAACAACATTCCAGAGCACTGAATCCCATTGGAATATTTCTTGGTTTTCCGATAACACTCTCTCCTGTGTAACTATGTGGCCCCCATCCTTGCACCGAAGGTGGAGGGAAGGTGACTAACCCGTCAACCCTTTGGGCCTTTGCCAAGGTGACAGAACACCAAAGCCTCAGCAGAGACTGAGCAGAGCCGCGATGAGTAGAAGGGTGTAAAACCACTACACCCATTTGTTACGAGGGAATCCAACTGGTTTTTCATGAGGTGTCATTACAAAGCACTGCCAAAATGCCAGACCTCACCTTCCTAATAGCAGGTAGCAGAACAGATTCGTACATCCGTGGCTACCTAGAGCTACAATACAATAGTCTCACCCATGGTCACAAAGACACACCTGCCCAGGCGGCCAGGAGCTCCGGGCACGGAGGCAAAACGATTTTGTCAGCAAATGCAGGGTAAAAGAGAGGCTGTGGCTGAGTGCCAGCCTGGTGGCATTGCTCAGACAGTAAAACATGTGCAATCTGGTAGCAGAGACACCTCAAACACGCTCTGTTGCAAGTAGGGAGATGCCCTTTCATTTCTCATCACCAGCTCAGCAACCTTCCTCCGGGCTCGGAGGCAAAACAAGTTGCTTTCCTTCTCCCATAACAAGGACCAAGGTGCACTATCGCTTCCATCTGTGGACCTGGCTCTTTCCAAAGGCTTGCACAAGACCAGCGAAACTCGGTAAGCCATCCTCTGAAGGAGCAGAGGCCAGCCCACTCGTGCCAGGCTTGGCTCGGCAGTGCTAACAGGTGTGGAAAGCCACACTGGTGCTTGGCGATCGCTGGCATCGGCCGATTCGAGTAACACACGCGAGGACCTACTGAGTCAACAGGTGCCCCTTCCACAGTTTCACAGAAGGGTGCATTCCAGCACTGCAACACATTGTAGGTCCCTGTGTTTATTATAAGTCACTGAAGGTACTGAGCTTCCGCAGCGGTAACCACACGCTCGTGTGATGCCAACGTTATCCTCCACCCGAAACCTCCCACGTACCCACCTCGGGCTTGACTTAAGTTTGCCTCCGTGCCTTTTTGCTCACTGGGCATGCAAGATAACTTCTGACCTGCTTTTTCATCAATTGTTCCTCTTACCTGTTTCAAGTAATTGCAACCAAGTCACCCTTTTTCCTTTTTGGCACAGAGGTTTGTCCGGACAAGAGCTTCCTGCACATTCTAAGGGCAAGACTGGAAGGTTTTTCTCAGACTGTAACATTCCTCCTGGGCGTACATCCCCTCTGCAGTCTCTCTGCAGGAGGGGAAATGGGGTTCTTAGTTACCTTAACTCCACCTAGAGAAGCACTTTTATTCCTCTTTCTCCCTCCCTCCCTCTCCTTTCTCTAGGGTAAGCAAAAGAAGATCTCTCCATCTCTCCCACTGCTTGTCAAACCAAAACCAGTCTCAGGTCAGCAAAATCAGGAGCTGCGACAAGAAAAAGCCACGAAAGCAAAGCGAGAGAGATAAGAAGTTGGACAAGAGCGCTCTAGGAAAGCCTTTGAAGTCTCTAGCAGCTCCTGTTCAACATCACCAAGAACGACAGGCTGCAACTGCGTTTGACCACAGATGTTTGGAAGGAAATTTAGATAATGGTGATTTTGCTTTGCAGCCTCCTGCTTGCTGACACACACGAGACACAGGCTGCAAAGAGGCGGCGTGACAGCTAAATCACAGAAGGATCTCACTCACTTGCCCAGAAAACACAAGATGGGATCGTGCAGGTGCTTATTAGGACGAGAGAACGAGTTGAGAGGAGGAGGCTTGCTCCGGGCTGGAAGAGGCTATAGATAAAGCATGGCTGCTCCTCCGCTGTGGCCAGGGGTACAGGCACAGCAGCGTCAGGCTCCACCACAGCAACAATGCCTGTTTACTCCTGTGCTGGAAAACAGCAGCTAGTCAGCCTGCCAGCAGAAATGCTGGGAACTGACCTAATTACAGAGGGAGTACCAAGTCAAACCAACTTCAGCATGATGCAATGCTGCTCTTCCATGCCCAGCTCTGGGAAACTGCTCGCCTCCACGCAAACAAACCTCTGCTTTACCCTTCTTGCATTAACCAGACACGTGAGGAAAACCATCTTGCCTGCTGCTTTTTATCCAGCACTTGAATTTCCAGTGCCTCTTGTTTCTGTAGCATCTTCTGGTTGTTACCTTCACCTCTTACCTTGGCAGTCCTCCACAGGCATGGGGAGATGAGTAACCCTCCACTGGAACAGTGTCCAAGGACTGAGACACAGCATTTTGGGGACTGATGGAAGCTGCAGGGCAGATCTAGCTGGGAAATGCCATCTAGAGGCCAAAACGTGCTTTTACCTGGCTTTATGGACTTCAGTGATCATAGCACTTTGCTCCTCTCACTTCAGTACAACCCTGATCTCTCACAGCCTCTCCGAGGGCAGCGTTACCCCTCCTTCACGGATGGGGAGCTGAAGTGCTCCGCTGTGCTGCACCACGGGTCCCAAAAGCAGCACCACTGTCCATTGTCACAGAAAGCCATTCTTCCAGTAACGAGTTACGAGTTTAGTGTCAGTTGACTACCTTACAAAAACCATACGTGGGCCCAGCTTTACGGAAAAGAGCAAGGAACAAACATACTCCAGCCTTCCTCCCCCTTAAAGCAGGCGAGATGCCCAGCCTTTTACAGAACCTTAGCAATAAAGCCATGTCTCAGCCAGCTGTGGTTTCACCATACGAGTGGCTCTTTTTATATGTCACAAGTTAATTTTTTTATCTAGATGGGGCACTGGTATGCACTTAGAGAAACAAGAAGGGAAGAAGGATCTTTCCATTAATGGGGCACTGGTATGCACTTAGAGAAACAAGGAGGGATGAAGGGTCTTTCCATTCACACTGAGTATGTGCTGGCACATTGATGCATCACACCAAGGCCAACGCAGCCCAGGTCTTTGAAAGCAGCATCTGTCTCTCCCTGAGATGGGATGTGGGATGACACAAACAGATCACAGAAAACCTAGGAACCACAGGTTTTGGGTTTGTTTTTTTTTTTTTTTGAACAACATCCTGTTGAAGAATTCTACTCTAGACTTTAAGTTTTAAATATTTAACCCTACAGGCTGGGGAAAAAAATAAAAGAAAAAAGTCCAAGGTGGCTGACAGGTGTAAACCAGAACTGTGTGAACTGGCCCAAGCAACTGGGTAGTATTTACTTCAAGATCAAGCAAGGCAAAAGTTGGTAAAACTAACCAGCTGTTAAAGCAGCAAATACGAGTGTCCAGGGACAAAAGAGCCCAACATAAAACTCTCCAGAAAATAACCAGAAGTTATAATAAAACTAATTTCTAAGCAGCGTATCGAGCTCCCAGATGAGGTTAAGGCTCACTGAGTGAGGCACTTCCCATATTCCTGAAATTTGAAACAACAAAACTCCCAGAGAGCCAGGAACTGGCACGGAGGGAAGTTCCAAGTGTAACCTAAACTCTTCATTTAAAAACAAACCAGACCTGAAGCACTTAGAGAGATTCTAGGGCAAAGTACACTTACTGGAAATGTCAGACTAAACACACAGTGAACATGGCATCATGATCACCATTTTCTTGCAGTAAAGAGGTTTTTGCACGCCTGAAGTGGTCAGAGCACCAAAAGTCACCATGACCAGCAGTACCACGTCAGCCAAGAGGAGAGTTTTGTGCAGCAGCATCTTCCAGCCAATGCAGTTTTTAGGGAAAGTGAACCAGCAGGTGCTGGCTGACAACAGCCACAGCAAAGATCTCCCCTCCACAACGGGAAGGACTCAAGTCCTGCTCATGCTGAGATACTCAGAATGGGATCTGCCCTTTCAAAGATGGAACACCAAATTAGGAAGTCATCTTTTCTTGGTTTATTTGGGTTATTTTTGACTGGAAACAGGCTCCTGCAGAAACAAAGGCACGTGCTTTCTTACCCAGAGAGGCCTAGCATGCCTCTTCTCAGGTTTCCTTCTGATGCCTCAGTAAGAAGCCAAATCACCCACTAATCATGGAGGGAATAACAAAATCAGCTTCAATGATTTAAGAGATGGTGGCAGAACTCCTTTTCAGCACAAGCCTCTCCGAAAAAGCCAAACCACAGAGAGGAACCAGTCGTGAGAGGTGTCTCATGAACCCATCTGCAGCTATGGGAAGAGGTGGCTGTTATCACCAGAGCAACAAAACAGAGGACAAGGGTGGAGAGAGAAGACAGAGGAATGCTGATGTGCTGGGCTGGGACTGAAGAGGGCACAGCGGGGTGTTTATTCACAGTCCAGAGGGTTCAGCAGCTGTTTCAAAACAAGAAGTCACATCAATGAACTGTTAGCACAGCTCCTACGTGAGTTTTTTTTTCACCCCGGACAAAGCTGTCTTGATAATGGTGAGGAGGAGGAAGGACTTCAGGAAAACTCCCTGTTCCAGAGAACTGGTACAATTTGCTTCAATGTTCCTGATAAGATGTCAAAGCAATTATGAAAACAAGCAGAAAAAAATCCATCTAAACTTCTCAGGCTTTAGCCTGGCGTAGGTGGGGGTAGCTCTGCAGAGTCCTGTCTATTGCTTCATCCAAGCTCACCACCGGTTTGTAGCCCATGACTCTTTTGGCCCGTTCACAGCTGTAATAGTGAAACGTTCCAGCTAACGCCACCCGCATAGGGGTGAGAGTGGGCTTGATGGTGACCAGAGGGCTGAGCAGCCGCAGCACCAGAGACACGAGCAGGGCCAGGTAATACGCCAGCCAGTAGGGAACACGGTACTTGGGGGGATCGTAGTTCAAGCCAGTCAAGATACGGGACATGAAAGCCCAGAAAGGAACTGGTTCATCGTTTGTGATATGAAATGCCTGGAAGAGAGGAAGACAAAAAGCCAGATGATAAAATCATTAGGGTTTTCACAAGTTTGTCCCTGTGATGGCCCGTCTCACGTTCACGCTGAGGAGGCTGGCATCCCTGGCTTGACTGAGAACAGATCTTCATGAGAAACTGCTTTGCACTAACCCCCTCTGTCTGGAGAGCGAGGAACCCCTTCTTTGCTAAGAAAGCCAGCTACTTCCAACACTCCAGATTACTCAAACGGTCAAACACCACACCACAAACACATAAAAGCATCCTAGCTGTAGGTACAGTACATGCCTGGAGCGCAGTGGTGCCATGAAAATCTACAGAAGCTTCTCTTCTTCTGAACTCTCTCATGAAAGCTCAATAATTCTGTTTCTCGTGTACAAGTCTTGGCTGCCCACCATTCTGCCTGGATTTGCTTTCACAAGGAGTTTGATAGCATGAAGTTAAAGTATATTCATACATCTCAACCCACGTGGTTGGGCTGGTGACCCACAACGGTCACCAGATGGGCAACCATCCGTTATACCCACAGGAAAAAAAGAAAAATCGACCCATTTGTGTGTGCTAGTTCCACCCATCTCCAAGATAGATGTTGAGTACAGACAAAACTCCGCAGGAACCACAGGGTGTCTGGTGGGGGACACCCACTCCTCTCCCCATGCTAGGTCCTTCCTTACCTTCCCACACAGAGGAGAGTCTTGGTGAAGGTTTTCTGCTGCTAGGATGTGCCCATGGACCACGTTTTCCACATAGGTGAAATCCACCAAGTTCTTTCCATCCCTGCACAGACAAAAGGAAGAAGTTTAGCCCTAAGGTGAGTCAGGCTGAAAAATCTGCTTGAGGTAAAAGGAAGGACTTTCACACAAGATATGTTTATTCCAAGTTTCCTCTTACGCTGTCTTGTGCTGCAGCTTCAGGCTATACCCTGTCAGACGAAATTGCTGCACATTATTTTGGAGACAGAGGAAAGGCTGTTATTGTCTCAGCTCTTGTCAAAGCCCTCAAAGTTTACATTCCTGTAACTACCATTTTTAAACCTCACAAGTTATCAAGTTTCTAGGTGTTGCAGCTCCTACAGGTCTCAGAATGAGCAGAGCGATCCACAGAAGCAGAACAAATAGAAACAGAGTGGTAACTAGCACGAAGAGAGTCACTTGAGGACAAGCTCTCAATTATGAATTTCTTGGCTCATGAAACTCTAACTTACTCTCTCAATAAGCCAACTTCAGCCCTAGCTGAAACAGATTTAACCCTGTGTTAAATCTATTTCTATCCAGGTACAGAAAACAAAAATGCACCTGTGTATCACTTTCCAGAGTCCAGCTAAATCAAACAAATGGTTCATTACAAAACCATTGCCACACTCATTTGGCCATAAAAACCAGTATTGCTGCAATCCAACATTCTGAGAAAGAATGATTTTCACTTCCTACGTTCAAGGATGAGTGGCTATTTTATTTGTTTTCTTGGAAGGGACATACAGGTCTGTATGGTGGTAGGAAAACTCAAACAAGGAATGTATGTTTGAGCTGGAAGAGAATGCAGACTTGCAGGAGGTGGAAGCCTTGAGTTTGTGTAGGTTAGCTGCTCACGGGGCAGTCTGAGAGAGTAATTCAGAAGTGAACTGTAAGGAAGAATAAGAAGCAAAAACCCACAAACCCAAAAACCTCAACACCAAAACCCCACAACCCTATCCCCTTTCCCCCTCCTACCCCAAGCACACACTCACATGTGCACACACATACAGGCAAACCAGCTCTCTGCATGTAATAAAAATCCACTAGAAATTAAAGAGAACATTTCTTTTCAAGAGCATAATACAATTGATAAAAATACCCTTAGCAGTAGCTTGAACTATTTCTTGCTCTAAAATTTCAGTGGTCCACCAGAAGCTCTGCAAGGCTCAATAACAAGGCAAATACCTTTGATGTCATAATCAGAAATATCAGAACACTGCCATAGAGGCTTTTTAATTGCAGGAACCTCACATAGCAGAAGTGTAGGTTAATGACACTAACAGCAAGTAATCTGAGCTCTCAGAGTTAAAAGGACAGCTCTTCAGACAATGCAAACACAGCTCAGGCCATGTCAGCTTTCCCCACTGATATTCTTTTTGCACTATGAACACTCACCATCGAGTGCACGAGTCCCTAACATACAAGGATTTTTTAAAAAAAGAATCCTGGATCACAAACGGAAAATTAAAGAAAAGTACTTTTTTCCACACCACAACACCACTACTGATCTAATATTATTCCCTTCCAAAAGGGCTTTGCAGGCTCAGCATCGATTTTCACAAAAGCTATAAAATGACTGAGCCTTGCTCACCCAATCATGAACTTCATTTTGCCACTCTTAGCTGCTTGGATGAGGATGGGAACCAGCTGGGGGTCTCTGGGACCAAATATTCCATGGGGACGAATAGCAGTGGTGAAGAAATTG